GAGCAGCCCAACGCGCGCCAGGGCTGCTGCAGCTGCAGCGGGCTGGGGTTTCGTGCTGGTCCCCTGCTTGCTGAGATTATCCATCACTAAAACAGGAGGCTTTGAGCTGTGAGAACATCTCCTGTGCCTTCTTTTCAGTATGTCTTAATATTATGAATATTTAATATTCCCCAAAGTTTTCCCCTTTTAATGAAAAGGAGGGAGTTACGGTGGAGTGTTTCCTCCAGATTTAACATGCAGATTAACAATTTTAAAATATTGCTGTGCAAATAGGCTTTTCTAAAGATCATTTTCACTAGGAAGCCATGCGATGCCGTCACAGATCCCACTGATGCTGCTGCATCTTTGTCCAGGACAGACGGACAAAGATGTGGTTGGGGAAGGACATCCCTGCTGCAATGCCAGGGCCCTCAGGAGCCTGGGTGCAGGGGAGGGCTGCCCAGCGTCCCCGCTGGGTGCCCCAGGCCAATTAGCACGGGGCGGCCGGGACGCTAATTGGGCCTGACGTGCGCCGGTTTAAGGAGATTCCCCGGGAATTCGAGCGCTACCTCTGCAGTTTGAGTTGGCTGCTAGCGCGAAACACGACCCGGTCTGGAGAAGTTTCTGCACTTACCATGAAACAAATATGCCACAGGTATCAAGCGGGCTTTGTTGTGAGGGCTCTAATCATATTGCAAATTGAACATTTCCACATGTGCGAGCTGGCAAATCCAGCCTCAGCTATCTCATATGGATCTGCCCCCAGGTACAGACACTGGGGTCTTGACATAGCATAATATAGATGTAAATATATTTTCCAGATTGCCTTAGCACATGCTAATGAAAATGAGGAACAAAGGCCTTATAGAAGCAGCTGTTAAAAATTTTCTTCAATCCCACAAAATGAACTTCTTAATTACTGATAATTTAGCATCAAAATGACCACCAACCCTTTTCTCCCACTAGACCCTCCCAAGGTGGGAGGCCTCTTCGAAGACTTGCAGGAAAAACTTTTGCTTCAAGTGAGCCATTTCCTTATGTTTCTCTGGCCTTTCTGGAGTTAATTAGTATTAAAATACAGCAGGGAAGAGGCGGCTCCACTCAGAAGGTAGCATCTTGCAGACCCTCCAGTCAGTTTGACAGAGTAGATGCAGGTGAAGGTCGCACGCAACAAATTATATGAAAGCACTTTTGTATTTCCATAGCACCTTCCATAAAAAAAGGTTCCCCAAACTTTCCTGAGTGCATTTATAAGTTATAGATGCAAATAGCTTGCACTGCCACTAAACTACAGGTGCTTCTGGATCAAGGAAAAGGAAGCCCTGGCGGGGCAGGGCAAGGGGTTTGTGTTCAGTCGGATTGATGGTTGTGTTCAGGATGTGACTGTTCCCCCCAAAATTCAGCCAGTAACTGGGTGAAAAGAGCTCCAACCTTGTAAGAAACACCTTGGGGCTGTGAATAACAGCAGGGCCTCTGGTGAGGGATTATTTGAATGCTATTCCGATTAAAATCTCAATCCTGGGAAAATGGCAAACTCAGATTCATTTGTTACTAGAAGAAAACAGTTTTCAGGAAGGTGGAAGGAAAGAAAACGGAACAAAACCAGAATACCGTGTTTTTAGTTTTTTTTATTTAATGCCTCCCTCCTCCCCAGGTTTTCATTAAGGGAATCTGAATTGCAAAGCTGAGCATTTAATAAAGTTGGCACCATTTTCTATACTGAAACAAAGGGTGAATTAATAGGGCTATTGGACTCCACATACAAGGTATATGCAAAAACGTACGGAGACTTTCAATGGGATGGGAAAAAAGACAGTTTTGGCCAGCAGTCAGAATACATTTTACTTATAACTGGAGCCTTGGCAAGGTATGCGGGCCTGGACACGGAGAAAGGCTCTTCTGTTTGCTCCTGGATGGTCTTATTTTGTTTAAATCATTACTGGAAGCATCTTTAAAATGAGCTCGCTTTTCTGTGCCACTATTTGACTGACCAGTGAAGCCACAAATGAGACTTAATACGTTTGGAAGGCAGCAGAGGCCGCTGAAACGTTCCAGAATTCAATGTATAAAGAGAAGGAACTGACAGAGAGTTTTAAAGTTCAAGACATACATGTAGCAACCGGCCAGACTGAGCCCCTCGGCGCAAAAGCAGCGTCTCTCTAATAACTTCCCCTTCCATCACTCGGCAAATGTGGCCATGCCACAAAAGGGAGCAGGGGCTCAGCCAGGCTGAGCTGGGCCAAAGTGGAATATTGATTAATCATCTTGTCACTCTGGTTGTTTGTTATGTTCAGCAGATAGAAATTGAGACCGTAATATGCAGAGCCTTCCTGTCATAAACGCTCTGCATCACGTGGGAATGGTTTGTTGACTTAGGGAAAACTACCCCAGTAGGATGAACAGTAGGATGATACTGAAAGAATTTGAAGGATTTTTTTTTTAAGTACTTATTATTTTTCTCGGAAAAAAAGAACAATCACCATAGCCAGAAATCACGGGCCTGACTTTGCAGGCTCTTCACATCTGGGCAAGTACATTTGCTCCTGTCTGTGTGGTCCTCTAAGGAATTTATGACACAAACACAAAAATTGCTCGGTCTTGTGGGTTTAGTTGGGGTTCTTTTGTTTTCTGCTTTGTACTCAAATGAAATAACGCAATTTCGATTTGTTTTTTGGCTGCTCTCCTACGGACTATTGCTGCCATTGAGGAAACACAAGGAAAATCAGCATCGTGTTAAACTGTAAAAATGAAGTTGAAGGAGTCTGACAGATAAGGTAGTCCTACAAGGTCACAAATTCCATGTTTTTATGCCAAGGAATCTCACCAGTGCTGAGAGCTGCTGTTTTCCATGCTGTGCGCTAACTAGCCTCTTGGTACATTACAAAGTAACTTTTACAGCTGAACAGTAGTAATAATAATAATAATAATAAAGTTTTTTTAAAAAAATCCTTTACAAGAGGATCTGTATGAGTAATGTCCGTATATAAAAGATGCTCCAGCTGCTTTTCCTTCTGTCCCTTGATGTCCCCAGGTTTTGACTGGAAGGCCGTTGGCCTTCTGCTCCCCATGCTACACCGGGAAGGTGGCTGTGGGACTGGGGCTCTCCAGGAGGTCCTGTGAGCTGTGGTTCTTCACCAGCGTCTGGAGCCAGCAGGTAGGTGTCAGCTCGGGGGAACCCCTCCCCATCGGTCAATAAAACCTCTTTGGCAGAGGTTAAAATGGCCCTACAGGTCCTCTCAAAGAGCACTTTCGCTGCTGGCTGTTTGATGGGAGTGCAGTACTTTAATTGAGCACATTAATCCCTGCAGAAACTGTCCCACCCTTTCTCCACCTCCAAAATCTCCTTTCACCTAGGGCAGGTGAGAGGAGCACTGATAAGAACTGTCATTCCATCACTCTAAAGGGGAAAAAGATCTGGAAAGCTGTTTGCAGATAAAACTGGACTTGATTAATGTATTTGTTCCCTTTACTTGGCAACGACCTAAAGTCATGTTCCAAAGCGGCTTTAACTGCGTGAAAAATGGTGGCAGATTGTGCAGTTACCTGCCTATGCCCAGCAGCAAAGCCGGGACGCGAGCCTTGTTTTGCTGTTCCCCCAGCTATGCGTTCAGGCCTCACACATGGAAATTTGCAGGCCCACAGGTCACCGCTTGGCACCAACCTGTGCTTGAGGCTGAGGCACCAAGAGCCGCTCGTGGAGGCACCTGGCTGGATCTGCCGGGTCTCGGTCCCTCTCTGGTTGTGGAGTGTAGGAGGAGACCGGGATGTGCAGGATGAAATGGGCTTTTCTGGCCATCCCACCTCCCACCGGTCTGCCCGGTCACAGGACGCAGGGCTCTGACCCTGCCCTCGGAGGGAGCACGCCAACGGGAACACCTCTTTTTGCTTTTAGATCCCAAATGCTCCCTTAGTGCTGCCGCAGTCTCTGGACGCTGGTTTGTGGTGCTCCGCTTCAGCCTTGGCTTCGGAGGACGTTTCCACGCTTAGTCCGAAGCTCTAAGCCATGAGGTTGCCCCACCAGCACTCCCAGGGCTGGCAGCAGAGCACCCCAGGCCTGAGGCTCTGCAACAGAGCTCAAAATGTGACCTTGTGCTTGTACCCTCTGTACAAATAAGTGAAATATTTCTCTTTTCCATGGGAGCGTTTTGAAGCTTCAAGGTGTGATCTAAAGCCTTCTGCTGTGACATTGGCTCAGGCCCTAAATCACCAGCACGAGAGGCTTCCACGTGCCACCACCAGCCTCGCCGTGACCACCCACGGCCGGAGCTCCACAAGAACCAGACAAGAAAGAAAAAGCTCCCTTCAGTTTTGTAGTCCTTTATTTTCTTTTTTTTCTTTTTTTTTTAACTCGATCCTCCCATAGTAATGTACTGAAATGCGTAACAGTTACATTGTACAAAGCATTTAAAGAAAGTACCTCAACTTGCCGATTATTCCAAAATGAGATTATAAACAAAAGGAAAAAATAAATCTGGTCCCTCACTAAAGGCCAAAAAAAAAAAAAAAAAAGAACCCCGAAAAAATAACTGAATACCTTCCGTTATTTATTTATTTTTTTTAAACATAAATTTGGAACACTTCATCTTACAAATAGGATTAACATGAACATAACATCACACAAGCTCGCAGACAACCAGCATAAAATATTGGGTACAGTTTTTAATCAGAAGAATCATGCTTTCATGAAGAAATTATAACTGTTTATACAATTGAATCAATTTACTGTATTACAAAAAAAACTAAGTCGCATCTATTAGTTATTTAGTTCATTAAAAGGAAAAAAAATAAAATAAAAGAGGAATGTAAGAAAATTTCAAACACTGTTTTGCACTCCCATATACACAGATCAGTTCACCTCACTTATTTTGAAGTACATGGGTGCCTGCATCATGAAGCAGTGGGGGACTGGAGCAGTGCTGTTTGTTATCGGAACAGTGCTATTTTAATCAACAAACAATTGTTTGCCAACAAATAAATACATGGTACACACAACACAAAGAAGAAATTAGAGGGGAGGGGGAAGGAAACGATACAACAAAATAGCGACATGATTGTCTAAAATTAAAATCTCCTTACAACGATTGGAACTAGTGGTACTGACGATGAACATGGTGCTTTCACGGAATTAGCTGGATGATTTAGCTTCTTGGAGTAGTGAACATTCATAGTTTACAATATACACAAGCCTCTTATGAATTGTTTCTCACAGTTCTTTTTTTTTTTCTTGTTTTTCCTTTTTTTTAACAATGCAGTGGAGAAGGCAAAAGAATTATGGAGAGAACAAAACATTCCCGGTTACTCGCTTCTACGTTTAGGATGGAGAGTGTGCATTTCATAGAACTATTTTCTTTCTTTGAAGGGCTAAAATGCATAAAGCCTTAATGAAGAGATTTGTACATAAAAGCAACTGTTCCCAATCCTGTGTCAAACTATATTATACAAAAAGAAAATCAATTCAGTTACTACTTTAAAGGAGTGCCCATGTGTGTGTCAATGCAGTCTTAACCCTTTTGCCCCTGCTCCTCAAAGCCGGGTGAACTGGAAGACACTTTTTCCCGGCCCCGGTTTACATAATCCACCGAAACTTTTTATTTTTTAAGTCGCATTGATCCTCGAGAAGTCAGCAGCTGCCTTTGCTGTGCAAAACAAAATATTGAGAATAAATAGTTTCTTTCTTTTTAAAATTATTCAGTTTAAGGTCACCAGACTTTAAATGAGTGACCCTGCAGATTTATAAGGCATTCTGCTCAGCAGTCTTTTAAATAGTCATATACGAAAGAGCCATGCTACTGGTTTGGACTTGGTCCCATTCTTGGTCAGCCTTCGCACCGTCATACGTGACTGATGGACTGGATGGCGCTGGATTCGGCGGCAGCTCTCGCCATACTGTGCCACATGTTGGGAGAACTGTGGGCTGCGGAATGCAGGGAGTCCTTGTCGGAGAGAGACAGCATCATGGCGTAGGCCTGCGTGGGGAAGCACAGGGAGACGTCAGCCCGCGGCGCCCTGCTCAGCTCTGCAGCAGAGCACGACACGTAGAGACCCACCGGCGTAAGGACAACACCAAAAGGCAGCAGGTAGAACCACTATCGACCCTCCCATTGCTGATAGCAGTCATTATTTTTGCTTCCATCTGCACTCACAAAGCTCTGGGAAGCACACAGCATTAAGTAAGCTGAGTCGTGCGTCTGCCTTCACGTTCTTCTCAAGCACTGTGTTCCCAAAGAAACACATCAGCTTTTGGCTGATACTATATGTCAAAAAATATCACGTTCTGCTTTGTTTTGTCACTATGGGCACATTCTGTAATTTTTAGAACAGGACACTTTTTAAAGACTAGGAAAAAAACACTTTAATTTGTTCTAATAATATTGAATAAATGCCACTAAGATGTCATTCCAAGTAACACTATTTTAAAAACGTGTTGAGGACGTGCAGGTAGTAGAATCCCACAAATTTACCTATTAAAATAAATAGAACACCCAAAAACTTGCTAGACTTGCTTGCACCCTTGCAAACAGCTTCAGTCTGACCATAGTGTCTGCCCGAAAGCAGAACATGCCTATCTGCATCTCTGCAAAGGGGAAAAACGAACACAGATAGCAAAAAAAAAAAAAAAACAAGAAAATACTGCAAGACCTGGGAGCAGATCATCTAGTGATGTGTGTGGTGGGGCTTTGGTATTCCAGGTGTTCGGGGAGAAGCAAGGGGAGGCCAGGGCACATCCAGGGAGCTTTAGAGATATGGAGATCAGCCCAGCTGGGCAAGATGAAATGACCTTGCCTGCCACACATCAGTAATTTAATCATCTGCGTATCTGTCTGACACCAAAATTTCCATGGAGTTAAGCGTTTACCTGGGATTTGGATTTCCTGTACAACGGTTGTTTCAAGTCCTCCGGCAGCTGGGAATTATTGAAAGCTGCCAGTTCAGCTTCGTTGTATTGATTTTCTTCCATTTTCCTCATCTTGAGGCTATCTGTGAAGTGCCTTATGTGGTCCAAAGCTGAAAGTCCAGTCTTATTGTACTCCTCCTCCTTATACCTACAAAAACACCACGGAGGTTACAGGGAGTTTTCATGTCAATTCAGGCTCCTGGGTGACCAAGAGCTCCCCGGCCGCTCTCAGACATTTGAACCTGCTCTAAACTGTCTCTCTTCTGCTCTCAGTGCAGCCTTTCACGAGACTGTTGTGAGATTCAGGTAGACTTAAGGAAGAGGTAACACATCTCACACAAACACTTCCTGCCTCGCTCTGAACCCGAGCTCCATAAGCAAAGTTATTTTTCCTCTTAACAGCTACAGATCGCACGAAGAGACTGAAAATAGGGCCAGTACTGACCACAACACAGATGCGCGTTGCTATTGTTACTGGGAAGTTTGCTACTTAGGGCCATTTCCCACAGGACAACAGATTTTGGCGTTGGCACCCTTGTATGGGTTATTGTTTGGGCTTCGCATATTGACTGCACCAATACTAGGAAGGAACCAACCTGCCAGGGGAAGCCTTGCAGTTCATGTCCAAAGTACTCGTTTCCTCGTAGTCTTCCTCTGGAGTCCCCTCATGTATGTCACTTGTAACAGGTTCTTTCACTGCTTTCCCGGCAATTTCAGTTTCTTCATCTTCTTCGTCCATCATTACTTCATCTTCTGCCTCCTCGTCATCCAACAAATCTGAGTTCTGGCTGGCGACCATGGCTTTCTCATCCTTAAAGTGGCTGCCGTTCATTCTGAAAGCATCAAAATAAACATGCAATAATCAAAGATTAGATACTAAAGCTCAGCACTCATGAGAGAGATAAGAAAAAAAAGAAAGATCTCCCAATAGAATAACAAGATTTCCAGAGAAGTCTTTTATTTTGTATCTTGCTTAGCTTCAGATGTTTAGGCAGCATCGTAGGAAATTCCACCTCCAAATCAGTGGGATGTTGCAGTGCAAGTAGCATATGATTTTCCTAATCTCCTAAGGGCCTAAAAAGGTGATTTTCAACGCTCAAGAGTGATGTTTGGAGTTGTGTTCAGCTAGCCATTCTACATTTTCTCATGCACCATTTCATCTCATGTTTCCAGTCACACAGATAAATGACTGGCAAAAGTCTAGGCAAAATAAGTCAATAAATTTTAACAGAAGATGTAGGAGCAGAAAAACTTTGAAGAAGATCTGACATTTTCAAAAACGATATCCAATACTGTGTTCAGAGTTTTTGAGCCAAGTTCATATGCATAATTCATTTTGCTCAAAATACCATCTGTTTGGAAGCCACACTACTTAACTGAACTTTTGGATTACATACATGAGGACCCGAATGGGTTCTACTGAAGGCCTTCAACATTGCCTCAACAATTATTGACTTATTGCCATATTATTGACTTATCTGAAGGACTAGAGTAACTAAAAGAAAGGTCACCAGCCTCAGACAGTATTTTGAGTAGGAAAATCCTCTTATTAAATGAGTAATTAAAGCAAAAAGTATGTGGAAAAACCTCTTGGTCTATATACTATTATTACATTGTATTTTGCTTTCAAACACTGACTTACCCACTCGCCACAAGACATTTATGGACACATATTGTCCATGCTGAACTAGAGGCTTATATTCCATTTGACAAAGTCCTTGTCCTTGTCTGATCCACAGTACCTGCACAGTGTATGTGGCATTGACCAAGAGCTATTGGGCACTGCCAATGCATTGATAAATCTACAGTGGGAGGAACTGGTGGCATCAGAGGGCTGAATGCAGCGGTGCCGTACAAACGTATGGCAACGGGGTAGCGGCTGCGCCGCTTTACGTAATCGAGAGGCCTTGATTCATCTATTGTTCTAATCGTGCAAAAGGTCCTTACTCTTCCAGGAATACAGTTACAAAAATGGAAACTGTATTGTCTGCCCATGGTTAGCTTTAGACTCTATACGCTTCAAACCGTGCAGGACAATATGGACCAGAGCAAGAGCTTTCCCAAGATAAGGATGACCCACGTTAGAAACATATTAGATGTTGAACACTTGACTCGCCATTTTAACAAATAGACTTTCTTACACAGAGTGTGTAAGTGAAAGTCAGTTTCTTCTAAGATGATGGCATCATTTATCTAAATACAATAAGCTTATATCTATCTTCTGAGCAAATTCCAGATGATTATCACAAGTCCAGTACTTAAGAAAGGGCAGGGAATGAGCTGTTCATACTACAGTTTCAAAAACTTGGAGGCTGGAGCAATGCTGGAAAACTGAGGCAACCACCTCCCTCCAAGATCATCAGAGCAGTATCTCTTTATCATCCTTTACCTAAATAGGCACATATAAGAAATTGTGGAGCAGTTCGGGCTGCCAACTTGCTTGTTATGTTTGATCGAGACTGCTAGAAAGGAAAGGGAGATGGACTAAAACCAAAGTAACAAAAGCCATGTGATTAAGAAAACAGATTCTCTAATTATGCTTTCAAATGCAGTAATTTGCCAGGGATAAAATATCCATCAAAAGCAGTCTGAAGTGCCAAATTTAGAAAGGAAACACTGCATAACCCAGCAACCTTTTCACTTTGCTGACTTCCTGTTGGAAGACATGTTGAGACCAGATGTGCAAAGAAAAAAATCCTGAGCCCTCATTTCCAATCAAGCTGGAATGAAATTTGAATATGCATGTAATCACTTAATCCAATTCTTTCATGGAAATTGTGTTATGTCCACCATTTTTATTTCCTCACAAAGACATCTGGAAATTGAGAAGACAGCGAAGTTTCTCGCTAATGGTAAGAATTTTTTGATGTTGATAATGCAATGCAAATTGGTTGAAAAATCAGCAAGCCCCATGCCCAGTCCCAAAGAAATACATATAGTCAATGTGCACGCCTACGTAGCAGTCTTTTTTTGCTTGGCTATATTCTTATTAGCTGAAAATATTAATGAATGGTCTCCCTTCTGTTACTTTTGAAGAACTGAAACCCACATGTACTTCTTAATTAAAAGAACTCTCTCAAAAGTTAAGAGTGCTATGAGCTACCAAGAGCTTCACTGACTTTTTCCTAGTAAGTACTTTTCTTGGTGTCAAGTGGCTGCTAGAAAGGATTTTCATTTATGATCTTTCATTTATTCTTAAGAATTTAACTTACATTTAAATTGTAAGGCTTTCTAATCCCTTTGCATTTACCCATTAGACATAGAATTCAGCTCTACTGCAGTGGATACAAATCTAAGGAATTTTCTAACAGATTGAAGCTGGTAAACAAACAGCATTGTGAAACCTAGAGCTTCTGATGCTAACAGAAAGTTGTTCATAGCTGCATCCTGCAGTCCAGGCTCTGCCTCCAGTAACATGCTCTTGAATGATTGGGAAGGAATCAGCAGACGCCTTTTCAGAAGATACTGATGTGAAAACTGAAATGACCAGACTGCTGAAATTATTCTGATCCAACATAGCAGTATTGTTGCAAAAAACAAGCTTAATATCAAACCAAACTGGAGAAGGAAGAGTGTCGCCTTGCAAAGGACAACCAGTCCAACTTACCTCTCCTCTGAGCTTCTAGGGGATTGATTGTTGTGGTTGCTGTTCCCAATGAAATTCCTAATTTCTGTGAAGTAGGAATCTTCCTTGTCATCTAGGATTGCCCCTGTGCTTTCAAGTTCTGAGTGAGGTGAAGATGTTGCAGTACCTTAACAGGATAAAATGCAGCAGGTTTGTTGCTGTTCATTTATGTTTTACATATTTAACCATTTAAAGGAGACTGAAAATGAAACAATGGCTAAAATGGATGAGGGCCCGAGAGCCGTCCATAATGGTCTGTGGTCTTTTGGCTGTAAAATTTGTAATTAGAAGGGAACTATTATTACTCCATGGGCTAAGGTTGGTGTCCAGCCAAAACTACTGCTTATATGCTGGGTGCTATTGCTATTGTTTATAACTGCTTTTGCCAAATACATGTTTCAAGATCTCCTTCCTGTTACCTCGCAATTTCAATAATGTCAGTCAACAACTGAGTTAGTGCAATGGCTAAACTAAGTAAATGGAAATTAATTTTAGCTACTGATTATGTAGCTTTACTTAAAGCATGGAGCAGTCATTGACATAATCGCCAAAGTCTATATTCGTTTAACACTTGGAGACAGCAATGACAGACATCTTGGGGGCTATGGAGACACCAACGCTTCCTTCCAAAACAACCAGTTCTTTTCATCTCCTGACAGTTGGGGTACTTCAGAGAATGACAAAAAATCTTGTAGAGTTAGTCCATAAAACTCTGAAGCCAGGACTCCTATTGAGAGCCAAGTGACTGGGGAAATGGGGTGCAACCTATTTTGCCAGGCTGCTCTCAAAATGTTATGCTTGGCTTAATTAAAACCGAAAGAAAAGAGATCGTCCAGTTGCAATTGTTATACAAGGATAGAGTTTATGTAGGGATTTTCAAAGGTCTTTAATCGTCGACAGAGCTTATGCACTTATATTTTTCCAAAAATCCACTCACTGGAGCAGACAACGCAGAATGACTTGTGCCTATGTACCCTTGGTGTTCAAAGGCAGTGTTGGGAGCGAAGAGGAAGCCCATGTGTGTGAGCACTGGCTGCACGCGGAGGGCAGGACAAGGCAGAAGGGAAACCTACCAGACATGTTGCCGTTCTCGTGCTTTTTTAGATGTCTGTCCAGATTTGTTTGCTGACCAAAACACCTGTCACACAAGTGACATTTGAAGGGCTTCTCTTTATTGTGGATGTTGCGGACATGTCTCTGCAGGTTAGAAGATATGCTAAAGGACCTGTCACAGTACTTGCATCTAAAACAACGAAAAAAAGGTAGGAGAAAGGGGGTTGTTAGTAGCTGGACACACAAGATTTGTCATAAGAGACACACCGCCCAGTCCCAGGCAGTGCTAAGATGCAGCCTCTTGGTGGCTATGCAGGCAAAACCTCCCTGAAATGGAGAGATATCCTGCCCAAGGACCTGAAGAGCTCTCTTCTTGGGATGGAGATGCCATTTCTACAACTGGCTTTTTTAGCTTTAATTTATACTCGTCTTTATTTTTAAAAATATTCATCTAGGAAGAAGCATAATATTTCAGAATTAATTGCATCAAATTACCTAGAGTAATTGATTCCTGTGTTTTTGAAACTGTTGCATGCAAAGTTGGAAAGTTTGAAAACAGTAGAGCAATAACTCTATTGTTTCATGTGCTGCCAATACAATACAATTAAACACTTCTGGAAAACACATGAAACAGATCCTTTCTAATGCTCAAATAAGGTAAAAAGGGCTATTTCTTTTCCTATTCTAAATTATACTGTGCGATTAAATCTTTTTTTGAGGAATTAGCTTGCTCGATTGCTAATCCCAGAGGAAATTTGGTTATCTTGCAAAAACCAGCAATAAACAATCCCAACCTTTAATACTGTGCCAATGTGAGTAGTTTAGTCTATCACTCTGGTACCAGAGGCATCAATTTTCATACTCTGCAGTGATTTGGAGTCCCTAAAGCCTTTACTGTATTGCTCTTTAAGCCATTACTAAGTCGTACCATAACTATTCCAAATTCTCTTGTTGGCGACTAGCCAACAGTCTTCATCGCTCTAGTTTTTCAATCTTTTACTTTCCCCATACTTCAAAACATGTCTCTCACACTGTTTTTTAGTGCTGAAATCATCCATTCTGCTACTAATTGTTCCTGGCTTTTATGCAGTGGACAAGTACAACATGGATCAGGACCTCTCTTGAACAAAATTAGATGTGAATCCTATTTTCCTAAGAGACTCCTCCCTGCCCCCCAAAAAACATATTGTTTCCTCACAAACAAGGAGCTTACTCTGCTCTTTACAGGTCATAAAATGTATAAATTTGTGTATTTGTTTTCCTGGAACACGAACTGGCTTCTTTCCAGTTGATTCAAGTTCATCTTTCTTTTTCAATGAGGTATAAAGCTTCTACACTCATTTCTGCCTGTACATAGCTGTCCTGGACACTGATGCCACTTGCATATCAAGGTAGGTCTTGGTTAATCAGGCAGAGCTCAGACAGCATCCATATTGGGCAGGAAACAAATTAACAACAGTAAGGGGAATTTTTCAGAAACCAGATGATCCACGAAACACCCAACTTGAGACTGCAACTACCACTGGGCTCTTATGAAAAGACTTCTGGAAGGGGAGGGTGATCATGAGCTCTGCTGAAAATCTCTTCAATCGTGATGGCTGAAAGGTGCCAGCTACCCCCTGAGGCAAGGACAGCTGCTGGGAAGGCCCGGAGTGGCAGGGTAGTGAATGCTAGGTATTGCTAGAGCACTTTTAAGCCATCCAAATTTTACGAGCCACAAGCAAAACCTTCTCCCTTCTTGCAGCTCCAACACCAAGCAACAGCTCGGAATGTAGCTACCCTTTTTTAGACAAGCACAGAAAGGTCTGCCCAAAACAGAGGGAAATTGGCACGTTTGCCAATGTCCCTGCAGAGGGATTCTCCGACAGTTTTACTTTCTTGCAAGGAATACAATTTTTACGGCGTGTTTAACTGGGAAAACAGCTCGGTCAGTAAGGAGCATTTCTTGGTCGAGACAAAAAGCCATGGACCTCTACTGACAAAAGCTTATGTAAACAAAAGAAAAAGCAGGTAATAAACAGTGAGTAATTCCCTCGAGCAAGCAAAGAGCTCCATGGACATGTATTAAAGCTCAGCAGGCTGCGCCCAGTTTCTGTAGGAAACCCAAACACAATGCTGGGGAGAAAGGAGATTTCCAAATCTCCTTCAACTTAATACGTCCGCTTGCCTCACTGGGATTTATCTTGGTAACTTCAAAAATCAATCTTGCGAGGCTCGCATTCGCAAACCCGCTGTGAATAAATAGCTAAATGAATACCAGTGAGTCACACTGGGGCTATGGCAACATGTGCACACACCTAGACACACACCAGGGAGCTCAAGCACAGGCTTCCTGGCCGTGGGAATGTGCCTTTCCCGATGGCACTGGCCTTCCACCCCCAAATTCACTGGAACCAGTGGCAAAGCCATCCCCAGCTTCAATGGGCTGTTACTGAATCAGTAACAGTAAATCAGCTGGGTGCTGCTTTATCCCCGTAACCGCTATCCGGAGCGGGTTGTACCTATAGGGCTGCTCTCCAGTGTGCGTCCTTAGGTGACGGGTTAGGTTTGCAGATCTCGGGAAGATCTTGCCACAGTATCTGCAAAGAGAGAATGGGTGGTAAGATAAAGCAACATCTACCAGCTCCTGCTGGGTTCAGGCTGCACTGGAGGCACAGCCCAAACGAAGTGAGTGACATCTGGTCCTGCCAGCTTTGCTTTGGTATCTAACACTGCCGTAAACACACTCAGCAAATAATGCAGCAAATCAAAAGTGGTGGATGCAAACACACACAGGGCACCATACACATGGAATCCGAACTGCTGGTCCTGACTGGCTTTTCTCGCACATAAGCAAATGATATATGAAACACAAATTAGTTTTAAAGAAAGCTCACTCCAAATTCTGAAGCTCGCTAAGAGCTTTTCTGTCATGTTCAGATTTGGAATCATGAAAACCCATTACTAAAGCCTTGGATTTCTGGCTCAAGGTAAGCAGATTTCAAATCTTTCAACTCATTCTCTGTGTCAGCTAACGTGACATCATTCTGTGCATTGAATAGGATCAGACCAGACAAGATTCAAAGACCTAATCCATCAAGGTATGTTTCTATAACAACATGTCTTGAAAGAAGGTGACATGTTTCTAGAAAGAGCAGATAAACTGATACGCCAGTGTCAAATGCCTGTGCATGCTGGAGATGATAGAGAGACCTAAATAATGCAATTTAAAACTCATTCTCCAAACTCGATAATATGTCACGGGAACAATAATAGCAAAAAAGAAAAGAAAAAAACGTTTTGAGCTCTACACCTACCCTTTAAGTAAAACATTATAAATTAGTTTATAATTGGCCCAGTTCTATTAATCACATCCAGCCCATTTTGCACAGGGACAGAGCATGCACAACTTGCTCTCAAGTGAACAGGGATAGTGGTTGCTCCACATGGAGATTTTCAAGTGCAACCTTTTATTTTTAACATCCTATCTACTTTTTGTCGCCATGATATATAAGCCCTCAAAATAACCACACAGCTAATTCTGCTCTTGCTGACAAAGCTGCATTTCATTGTAGTCGCATTTACAATGAAGATTTACAACCTTCACTGCCTTTCAAGTCTGCACATATATGTCCTAATAGCTCCGTCATGTGATTGTTGATCTCTTTGCACATTCAAGACAGAAGCCAGAGGAAAACATTTCTGCAGCGCACGATCCGAAAATTAACAGTGAGAGAACACCCATTAGTATGAAGGCGATGAGCAAATTTGGGAGGAGTTATTCATAGAATAGCTCCAGCCTCACTTACAAGTGGGGGATGATCCAGGGCAAAGCCCTTGCCCACAGCAAGGCCCTCACCTGCAGGTGTAGCGCTCCTTGCCCTTGCGCAGCAGGTTTTCCGGCAGGGCGCTCGGAGGCGCTCGGAAGTTGAACATCGATGGCACCGACTGGATCAGCTCGCTGGCCTCTGGCTTCAGGGCGCTGAAGCTCTCCAGCTTCTCGGCCATGTTCTCAATCGCCGACATCTGCAACACAAAACAACACGGAGGCCGTCACGGCGGAGGCGGCTCTGGGGTTCTTCCCTCCAGGAGAGCCCTAAGACCAAACGCCGCCTGGTTTGGAGACAGCAAGAAGGCAAAGGGAGAGGAGCCGTTCAAAAAATCATGTGCGTACGTGGGCACAACAACCAAACCGTGTGGTTAAAAAAATAAAAAATTGCAGGGACAAAGATTTTATAAAAACTGCAGCTGAACCAAAGGCTGCAACAAGGCAGGTCCAGAGAGGCTCTGACAATGTCCCCGCTACATGCAGCTATTCGACCAAGTCTTCTTGCACATCAAAGACAAACACTATGAGATGAACGCATAAAAAATGAAGTTTCTGTGTTTTTGGTGCTCTTTGTTTGCATTACCAGCTACATCCTGTTTTCCTACAAGACCACAGATAAGGAAACCCCCATAGCCAAAAATGATCCAAGTAAATGAAATAGGAGTTGCAGTGAAGTCAAATGCTCTTCCCACCCAAATCAACTAACTTTGTCGTAAGTGTCAATGGGAAGAAAATTCAATTTTCATATGTGCATTAAAAAAAAAAGTCTAAACATGCAAATTTGAAAGAAGATTGTCTTACTGACACAAGGAATAGCAGCAGCAGCATGACACATTACAAAAATGCAGCACCACCAAAATGAATTTTCGGTGTACACCTTGTGTTGCTAATGGTAACAAAATAAATACTCTTCTAAACTGCATTTGGGGAAAAAAAAGGGTTACTTAAAAGTCATTTGGCTTCTGCCTACTTGGTTCTTACCCTTGTTTGAAATACAAGAATGTTAGAATTAATTAGTGACAGAAAGAACTGCGATGTGTCAAACTGTCTTTCTGTGGTTCAGTTTTCCTTATTTTTGAGTTTTTTTCACCTTGCTGTTCTGACTCCCTCACATAGGGGTGGTGGTAAAAGGCCTTCCTCACCCCAAGTCCCATGATTCAATACAGCAATGAGCCACCCCAAACTATTAAAGATGTTTTGGGATGTCTCCATTTCTGATTCTTCACCATAAGCTCTCCAAGAACTTTGCTTTTCATGGAGGGGGCATTAAACAATTTCTGAAGACTGGTTTCCTCTGGGTCCAGAACTAACCATAAAGAATTAGTTGGAGAGTTCAAGATTGCCACTGTACCTACTGACAAGCAAGACTAACCATTTGCCTATTTATATCACCAAAAAAAGAAAAGAAACCCAAGAGCTGCACCTGAAGATACAGATACCACCATGCACGTCCTCTGAAACACCCTGCGGACAAGGTTTGTGGTGAAGGGGGAAGTTCCATTAAATACCAGACAACCCATGCCCCTCGATGATGCCTATATTGGATCCGAATTTGCTATTTCTTCTGATGGCAACTCACGCCCTGGCACTAAGAGCGACTTTCCAAGGCAAAGGCAGCAACATGCCAGCATAGGCATGGAAAAGAGGACAACCCGAACTACCCCAAGAGCCACGAGGTTGCTTTGTAATAACCCACAGTGTTAACCAAGTGCGCTGAGAACATGTTTATGGCCTATCCTTTAAAATCCATCAGAAACCTTTTTTTTTTTTTTTGCTTTTAATGCAAAGAATTGCGTGTTTGTCTCCTGAAATGACTATTCACGTGCTGCTTAGCTCTGGGCTTGGATTTTTTCCCCCTCTTGCCTGCAGCCTGCCCTCTCGTTTCATGCTCAGACTCTTAATGCTGGCTACAAATTGCAATGTACAGGGCACCACTGCCAATTTGCCAAATGTCTTTCATCAAACACCGTGCGAAGGCAAAAAAAAAATCTCAGAGGGAAGTCAAGATACATTCACTTGTCAGGCGACAAATGGGAAAGCATTGCAAGGCAGTAGGGGCTGTAAGCTCTGGGCTTTGATTCATAATCACTCAGCTGCTAAAACATTCTCCACAGATGCAAGCAGACAGCACATTTGTCAATATGAAGGATTTTGACATGTACTGATCACAGGCGTGAGCTATGTAATGATGATGCTGCTGGGATAGCAGGTAATTCTATCCCAGCTGAGAGATGTCATTATCAAGCTGCACAACTCAGCATTACCTCCTATTTATTTTTATACGGCGTCATATCTGTCTTTAGCTGGAATTGCTCCTTAAAGCTTTTAGGCTAAGCTTTCCGCTGCCTTTAATTCCTTCTAATTGTTCCCTTCAAGAAATTCTCCTTCTACTCTGCAGTTGTGGAAAAACAAATGGTTTGGATGAAAAATGACCCCTGGCCTTCAGGCTGATTAGCAGTGACAAGACAGTGCATGGGTTATGATAGCACATATTTATGGGGAAGAAGAATAAGGGCATCGAGAAGTGTAATAAATGTTTTATTTATGTATATTTAATATTCAAGTCAGTTTCATTATCTAGTGGTTTTAAATCATTTTTGGATCACCATTTCTCATGTACCTGTCTCCCTACAGTAATATATTAAAGAAACTATTTTCCCCTTTACATTTAAAATGGCTTAGTCATGCTTATTTTTTTATTATTATTATTTGCAGCATTTTGCAGAGGAGAAATTGAGACTGATTCTTTTCCCATGCACACAGATGTAGGTCAGCAGCAACTCCAATAATTCCTGCAGGATTATATCCGTCCCAAAATAGGGATGATATCAGGATCTCCTCTTAAATCCCCCATTCAGAGGAAGCGCAGGCACTTCCAATTGTTTTAAAGTATTACTAGCTTTCCAAAAATACATTTCTCACCACAGAAGTTCCTATTGTCTGTTTTTCTAGGACTGACCATTTAATTACCTGGTATGAATTCTAATTTTCAAGAAATGAAACAGCAAGAAAGGGAAGTGTTTGGACCCAAGTCTTTACGGGGAAGAAACAGTGCTACTCCACTGTTGGCTGTATAACCAGAGCAGCTAGACTTTGCCCAAGAAAAATTAAAATCAGGACACTTTCTTAATATTGAGGACAATAAAGGTGCTGAAGGGTTAAAGCAGCAGAAGCCTGCGAGTCGCCTAGTCGCAGATCCGGGAAACTCGGGTGAGCGACGGACGGCGAAGCCTTGACGAGGGAACCCCCAGGAACCAAAAAAGCTGCAAGTGGCAGATCTTTCCCCCAGAATATTCGGACACATGCCAGAAATGGGAAGTGTGAGGTCTTTAATTGGGGGCTGTGTCTTGCTCACTGTGGTTAATAGCTATAACGGAGCTGCTGCTCCCATTCATTTGGCTAAACCCTGTTTGAGTCCATTTACATTTTTGTCAAGAAGTTCACTGCTTTAATTAGGTGCATGTGAAAAGATACTGGCTTCCCTTCCTTTCAACCCTTTTGCCTCATAATTCAGCTGGGTGCCCCTCATTTTTCTGCATTGTAAAAACTAATGAATGCCCGTTTCTCATGCAGGTTCTGCACACTATTCATGGCTTCAGAGCAGCGTGCCTGCCACAGCTCCCCCGGGCATTTCTTTCCCGAGCTGAAAAAGCAAAATCTACTTAGGCTCGTTTTGTATGGAAGCTATTCCATACCTCTGATCATCATTGTTGCACTTTTCTGTGTCTTTTCTGATTCTGCTCTATCCTCTTAGAGAGGGACTTCAGCTGTATTCATGACCTGAAAGCAATGTAACATAATGATGCTTTCAACGCCTTGCTGCTAAGATGACATTTTCATAGAACTATCGACTTTGGGATCTCTTTCCTGAATGATACGAGTTAAGAGATACACTTTCCCCTCTGTATGACTTGGTACTTACTGACACTGAATTTTATTGCTATTTTAATCCCCAGTGACTCAGCTTTCTGTGATTTTCATCTTCATGGTCAGATTGGACTACTCTAAATAAACACCTAAAATTCTGTTGTTTCCTTGCTCACTCTGCTTCCCATAGTGTTTACAAATATATTTAGCAGCTCATATTCCTGTGAGAACACTATGTAGACCTGGTGATAATCTTTAATGATAGCAAAATTTGCTAATTTATTCTTTTTTCCTATTTTTTTTTCTTTTTTTTAAGCTAATTTATAGCCTGAGATGTGACTTTCCCTCTTACACAACGAAAACACGGTTCCCTTTGGAGTTCTTAGTAAGAAGCCCCACTTCAGTTGAAGCACACAACCAAAGTCATGCTTACTCCTTCCAAACACTCTTACCACTGACTTGTAAAGAATCAGGAGCTTCTGAGCTCTGCTGTGCTGTCCCCTTTGCCTCCACAGAGCCCTGCTGACCTCTTTGCCTCCATAGGAGAGGTTGGCCTTAACTGTGGAGATGCTGCTATGGAGATGCTACCTCTGAACTGGGTCATGGTGTCCCATGTAGCATTTCTACTGGGAAGTAAAGTGGGTGTTCATAGGAATGAATTGCTTCTTCCAGCCTGCAATCCAAAATCTCTTTCCATGCTGAAGTCCTCCACTGCCAAACACGAGACTAGTAACATTGTCTTCACCTGGCTCCCTTTGGCCATGCGTTATCATATGGGAAATGAGTTTTGGCAGCCCTGACCTGGTCACCTTGTTTCAGCCTGCTGTTTCTTCTCTGAGATGTGCTAGGTGCACACCACCAAGGCAAACCATGCCTTCAAGTATCAACAATCACGCATCAAAAGCATCTTGTCTTGGGCTCTGCATGCAAGGCCTCCAAAGACTTCTACCAAAGACTTCTTCCAGGAGCTGAAGCGGAGGCCTGGAGACAGGTTAACAGCCTGAAAATCCGGCCCCGTCCACAGCTTTCAGGAGGGGCTAAACCCCAGCCGAGGCCAAGGTGTTCCCCAGAGGGGACGGGGGAAGCGGTCTGACCCGCAGGATGGCACGAGTAGAGCTGCTATGTCCACGGAGAAAGGTCGCCAGGGAGGTAGGAGAGCGAGGAGACTGCGCTGTGCATTTCACATAAAGTTATTGCCTTGTGGACAAGTAATATCTGCTCCTAATCTGAGATCAGTGAACGACAGCATTTTATATAGAACAGTAACTTTTGATTTACATATATAAGCGTTGTTGATTCTATCTACATCCAGATGTCTGGAAAAGGAAGC